CCAAGTGCCTGTCCCTGGCAGAGGTTTGGCTGCAAATTGGAATGTGCAAGAGTGGGGGTGTGGAGGGGAAATTTTTTTTCCTGCCACAGGTTCGCAGTTTTCCTTCCAAGCCCCAAGCTCTAATAAAGCCCCTTCTAGGGAGTCTTTGAGTAGCTCCCTCCAGATGAGGTTCACAGGACAGCACTGTCCATAGTTGTGAACAGGAGGGTTTCAGGCCAGAGCCAAGATGCTCCCACAGGCAGCTTCCTGGATCTGGACTGGGCAGCGAGGAAAGGGGGCTCTGTGGGCTGAGGTGAGTGGGGGTGGTGGATAGGCGGAGACAGAGCTCTACAAGTGCACTTACTGGGACAACCCAGAACCACCAGAAGATCCTTAAAATCAAAAGCAAGGAGGGGATGGGAATGCACTGACGCGCAGAAGCTGTGGCGGCCCCGCCCCCTTTTCAGCTGGAGCTAGGCGAGGAGGCAAGGCTGGTTGGGACCAAGACTGAGAAGCCCGCAGCACCTCAAGAGCTCCGCCGGAGGAGGGCCAGAAAAGGCTGGGGGACAGCGGGGAAGACCTCCCCTGTGGGTACATCCTGGGCACTGATTCCAGGCTACCTGGGCAGGGCAGCCCTAAGAGCCAGGCGTGGTCTGATCCTGGCGGGTGTGAGCCCACAAGGCAGGGCTGCTAAGGGCAGTGGCTGCTCGAAGGACGGGACAGCTGGGGCACATGTTTCTGAGGACTGGCCCTCTCTCACCCTTGGCCAGAACATCTGCACACAGCAGCAGCCACCCCACCTCTCCAACCGCAGCCCTCTGGTGCAGCATCACAGAGAGGTCAGCAAGAGCTGGTGCAGAGCACAGCGTTCACCCCCAGCCCAACCCCTCGACCCCTACAGGCCATCCTGAGCCAGGGAAGTGAATGAGCAAAGCCTCAGTGGTCACCTGAGAAGGGGCTTGACCGGCACACAGCCCGACACTGGGAGAAAGGCCATCCTCTTGGGCTGGGCACAGCTCACTACAGCGCCGATTCCATCTCACACGGCAGCCTGCCTAGATCACTGGCTTCCCACCACCCAGGGGGTGTCGGTGTCCCCAAGACCATGCACGTGCCAAATCCTCTCAGCTAGGGATTCTCATCCTGGGGCCAGACCAGCTCCCCATCTCTCCAGTCTGGGCCTCATCATTTCCTTCACACAGGATTCAGACCCAGAGGGTGGCAGGCTGCCCTATTTTCTTCAGGCACAAGGTGGCGCTCTTCCAGGCTGGGTCATCTTACTCTAATTCAAGCGACGACCCCCATCCATTTTCAACTGCTACTCTAAGACTATGCACCCTCCTGGCCTTTAAAGACTAAAATAACCCCGGGGGCCATTGTAGAGCACTTGCCTAGCATGTACAAAGGTCCTGGGTTCAATCCTCAGCAAAGGAAAAAAAAAACAGGAACGATAATCCCTAGTTGTGTCAAGCCAATGCCAGAGGGCAGTAAATTGCTTGCTCAGCCTCAGTAAATACCAGCACCCAACTGGCTCTAACCCTGGCCCTGGCAACAAGCTGAGCTCCCAGAGCCAAGACTTCCCTGCAATTCTCCTTGGAAGACACTGATAGCTCTCCTTTCTTTCCCCTTTTCCCTGAGCTTCCCATCTACAGAGCTTTTGCAGAGACCCACCTGTTACAGACACTTCTGCAAAACAGTGGGCAGGGGATGTTGTTCCCATTAACCACAGGAGAAAACTGAGGCTGGGAGAAAGGAAGTGGCAGAGCCAGCACAAGGACATAAGACCTAACTACCACTCCAGTACTCCTTCCAGGCCACTTAAATACCAGCTCAGCAAGATCATACATGATGTGGAATCTCTGCATCCTTTACAGGATCCACCAGATGCTCTCTCTCTCCTCAAGCTCCCAATGGCATTCCCAGAAACAGAAAGGTTGTGATCCCTAGGGATATTTGAATCAGGGCTACCAGACTTGGTTCCAGAGTTCCAGCATCTAAAAGGTCTCCCAGACTGGCTGAAGGTTATCAGGCTGAGGGTTTAGAGGGGAAGGAGGGTGGGTTCTTGGAGCACTGCAATATACAACTCTCCACCTGTGACCCTCGTGTACTTCTGTCTCCCACTGTGTTGAGTAGCTCCTTTACAAGTAGCTTCCAGTTAAATGTATTCCAAAGAATTGGATAAGATAAGCCAAAAACAGTTCTGAAAGTTTATTAGAAAAGTGAGGGGTAAAGCAGTGAAGGAAAAACTAACTGTACAGCAAACTTAGGATGAACAAAGAGATGAAAGGACAAAAGCAAAAATAAAGTGCACCCTGTCTGATGCAGAGTGCTTACCATGAGGAGTCACGACAGCAGGCTCTTCATGGTGTCCGCATCTCATAGGTCATCCACATCTCGTGGGAGCCCATGAGAAGTTCCACACACGGGGTCCTGGGAATTATTTGGCACTATCCTAGGCTCTTGTAATTGACAGGTCCCTTATTTCCCCAACTAGCTTTGCCACACCCTACCCCATATCACCACCCCCTGCAGTAAGGAAGTTACCCTCAGCATCAAAGTCCCGAAACACCCTAATGGCATCATTCCCTCACACAGTCTTCATGAGACCTGCCACTGCTCTGAGCATGAAGTTAACTAACTCCTTCTGGCAAGGACACAAGTTCCTTTGCCAACCAGCCTCTGCCAGGCTATGGGACCTCTTGACTAAGGCCTGCTCAGTGACTAGTCATGGGCAGCACCAGGTACACACACACACACACACACTCACACACACTCACACCTACACAGGTACCCATGCCTACACACACAGAAGTGCATATGGCTGCCAACACACATCTTTATGTAGAAATCTACCATTCAATTGCACACGGTTTCTTACAAAATCAGTATGGAACTGCCCTGCCAGGCCAAGCAGAGACCAGCGAATCTGCTTTTTGAGTTTCTGGAAAAGCCAAGTATAGTCATGTGACCATCTCCCAGACCTTGCAAAAGTGTATCTTCTGGCTCTGGATAAGACCAGAGAGCCTGCACACCAGAGGGTGGCAGAGGATAAGCCAAGTCCTAACCACATCTCATTCTGGGTCTGTGGCTGGCTTGCTGGGCAGCCCACAAGCCACCTTCTCTGTTTCTCCAGGTACAAGACAAAGTGGTTTGGATAAGCAGTGCCCAAAGGGTTCTCCATTGCTCAGTTTATGCACAGTGCAGAGAATGGAGGGGCCTATGAGGGCTGAAGCAGACATGGGGGCTGGGCATGCTCTGTGGCAAATGACTCTAGATTTAGGGTACAGAAATGAAGTGGGTACAAAGGCAGAAGGAATCTGGAAGAAAGACAAAAGCCAAAAGAGAAAGGAGGGGAGGACCTTAAGGATTCATAATTGACATGTATGGAGCAAATAATGATTGAGTACTCACAGTACAGGAATTTATCTATCATTTACACTGACCAAAAAAAACTACTTTCTTATCTCTAGGGGCCAGAGTGAGCTAATGCAATGGGTTAAGCCTGTAAACCGTGTGCCTCTATAGGGCCCAGTTTTGGCCGAATACAAACACAGCTATAGGAAAGGACCCAAGGTAGATAGAAGGGAGCCTCCAACAAGACCCTTCACACATGCAAAGCCCCTAGCAGCCATGGAGGCAGCCATGTGCTCCAGCAGCAAGCTAGCATGCCTGCCCACTCACAGATGCCCTCCACACCCACTACGCCAACACCAGCATCCTGTGCTCCCATAACCACACACACACACACACGCACACACGCACACACGCACACACTCTGAAGGCAGCCCTTCTGCCCTGCTCTGCCCTTGCCTGCAACTTGGCACCGAGGTGCTAATGAATTCCCAAGGTTGAGGGCTGAGGCACATCTAGATTGGCTAGAACACCAGAGCACAGGCACTGATGTATGAGGAAAACATCTTAAGATTCTGGTCAAGGTCAGCAGGACAGAAAGAAGTGGCACAAACTCTCCCCTTCCCTAAACCTCCCTGGCTCCAAGCCCAGTTTGCCCCACTCTCCACCCTCCTGATCCCCACACCCTGCTTTACATAAACCAAATTCCCACATCATGAACCCCTGCTAACTAGGCTGTGCAGAACCCAAGTGGGGAAAGGAGGATCTTCCCAGGAAGGCACACCAGCCCTGGCCTAGAACCCCCTACACCCTCAGGGTGGAGGCCAGGACCGCAGGAGCAGCCCCAGGCCTCGCTGTTCTCTATGGCTTTTTATTCCTATGTGATTCTACTGCTCACTCATATAGGGATTGGAGCCGTGGTGCACGGCGAGGATAGCCAGCGGAGGGCTCTGACACTGAGCAAGAGGACCTGGCGTGAGCTGGTACAGTGGCACATTCTTCTCCCAACCCAGACTGCCAGCAAGCCCAAGGAAGCATTCTGCTGCTACTCTCCTCATTTGCTGATTTTCTCACCAGCTCTAACAAAAGGTGCTGTTGGACCCCTTCATGCTCTGAAGCACTGCACTGTTGCATTGCTTGGAGATGCCCCTGAAGGGCTGACATCAGTTCTGAACTATGTCCCAGAGTTGGCTAAAGGACCTGGGGATGTTCAGCCTAGGAAAATGGAGCTGGCAACAGGAAAACAAGGTCCAGTGTCTTGTGGGCTAGGGAAGCTCCTGGATAAGCAGAGGGATAGGAAGTGGGATAGAGTGCAGCTCAACTAAAGCTAAGGGATGCCCAAATACAGAAGGGGTATCCTTGGTGGCAGGTGGTAAACATCCACCCAACAAAGCATACAGCACATTGGAGACTGTGCCAAGGATGCCACTGGGAGTCATGGTTGGTTAGTAGCAATCTTTAGGCCTTTCTCTGCTTGCCCACATTGAGGCTGTTGGGAACCAGGTTCCAAAGAGGCAAACACCACCTCCCATTTACATGATATAAGCTGTGTGTGCAGAGCAGAGGGACACAGGGAATTCCTGTTGGCTCTCGTATCATGGCTACAGACTACACTTCCCTCCCCAGCAGCTCCCTGCAAGTCTCTGCACGAAGGAAAGATGCACAGAAAACCCAATGTGGTCCTTTTTATTTCCAGTCTTTCTAGCTTCATTCACAGAAGAAATAGGCTGACAGGCCAGTCAGAGAGAATGCACAGGGGAGAAGATCCACGACAGTGAACTGGCCAACAGGCTTGTCCTGGACTTCAGGGCTGCCTGCTTCCATGGCAGAAAGGAGAGGTGCAGGGAAGCCACCCTCTGCTCTGCACCCATCTACAAAACTCACTGTGGGGAATGAACACAGAGCAGAAGTGGGAAGTGGGAGGACCAACCAAGCAGCCAAGGCTGAGGAGGGGAGGAACCCTAAAGCATGACAAGGTCCTAGGGACCCACTCTGGTCTTTCTGGCCTTTTTTGGACCTATTCTGTCACTGAGGCTGCAGCAACAGGAGGTGGATGTCCATGACATTGGTTCCTGTCAGCCCTGTGTGTAACAGGTGTGATCCACCATGGAGGCGGCAGAAGAAGGTGTGAGAGTCATTGTGGGCTAGAAAAGTGGTCACGTCCAGCCCCTCAGCAGCAGCCTGGCCAGTAAGCTCAGGCATGACCCAGGCCCCAGCAGCATCAGTGGGTCCATCCTGCCCATCAGAGCCACCACTCAAAAATAGTACATCAACAGGCCCCAGTGGCCACCTTGCAAGCTCTGCTCCAACACGCAAGGCCAGTTCTTGGTTCCGGCCACCCTTGCCTGAGCCCTGCAGCTGCACTGTGGGCTCCCCACCAGCCAGCAGGCAGACTGGGCTCTTAGTCTCTGCTATAGCCACCAGCACCTCCTCCAGCTGCAGGTCTGCAAGCCGGAGCTCAGCTGCAAGTTCACAGAGTTTTGCGTTCTCCTCCACAGAGGCCCCAGCTGTGGATGAGGTGAGGTGGGCTCCAGCCACACGGGCTAGCATCCCATAGAACTGAGCCACACTTTTCACATCACCCTGTATGGCTGCGCTCAACACCACAGCCCGGTAGCCTAGCAGCTGGGCCTGCCTCTGAGCCTCTGCCAGTGCCAGCACGTTAGAGCCAATGATCACATTGAGGACATGACCACAGGTGTGTGGCCCACGGGGGTCAGAGTCTGCCTGAGCAAGCACAGTTTTTATAGAACGCGGCAGGGCAGCACGAAGTCCATAACGATTGAGGATGTTCAAGCAATCTTGCACATTGTGGGTGCTGGCTACAGTGGGGCCGCTGGCAATCACATCCACAGGGTCCCCCACCACATCTGACAGGATCAGGCTCACCACCTGGAAAGGGCCACAGCACAAGGCTCAGTCCCACCTTCTCCTTGCACCAGAGCCCAGGACAAACTGTCCCTGGGTTTCTACTATCCAGTGCATTTCCTCCTGGCTTGTTTCTTTTCCTCTTCCCTCTACTCCTTCTTTTACAATACTAGAAACTGAACCTTGGCCTTCACATTGAGCTATATCCCCAGTCCTTTTTTATGTTTTATTTTGAGACAGGGTCTCACTAAGTTGCTCAGGTTGGACTTGAACTTGAGATCATCCAGCCTCAGCCTCCCAGAGTGCTGGGATTATAGGGATGTGCCGCCATGTCCAGCCTCCCTGCCCCCTTGACAAATCCTCATTGGACTGAGTTGTTTGTTTGTTTATTACTGGGAATCAAACTCAGGACTTTGTGCTTACCAGGCAGGCTCTGCACCATCCCTGCCCACTTCTAACAACTCTCAGGTAGGACTGCAGAACAGTCCTACCTGAGGATACCCTGGGGACACCCTCCCTCCTCCCTAGGCCCCTTCTAGGGATTTTCCGTAGCCTGCTCATGACCCATACCCGGTCCCTGCTAACTTCTATGCTGATCTAGCCTTTCATCTCCCTGTCATATGTGGGGAGCCCAGTGCTGCCTGAGGAAGAAGCAACTCACACACCTGAGCAGGGTAGGCAGCCTGAGCCAGCCCTCCACCCTTGAGCTGGGACAGAGATTTTCGGATGGTGTTCAGCTCCTGGATGGTGGCTCCTCGGGCCGCCAGCAGCTTGGTGAGCATCAGTTTCTCCTCCAGTGTGACAGGTGGGATAGGAGCAGGCAACAGCGCTGAGCCCCCACCTGCATAGTCAGTAAAGGCATCAGATGGAGGGGATCTCCCAACCCAAGAAACCAGGCAGCAGCACACAGGCCTGTGAAGGAAGTGAGCTGAGAGCGTGGGGTTAGGGTGCCCCCATGTGGACATGTAGTGAGTGTGTGCACAATCACTATGCCTGGGCCACCAGAGGATGTCCCCGGCCATGAAGCACCCCAGAGGTCCCTGCCAGCACTAGAAGAGCTAGCCATTCCTGCGGAGCTTGGAGCATGGTAAGAGCAGGGGATAAAGCAAAAGACCAAGGAGAGGGTTCTGTGAGGACTGGAGACTAGGTTCTAACCCTGGATGACAGTGACGCAGACGGCAGCATTAACAGCAATATTTTCCAAGGGTTCTACTAAGGTGCCAGGCCATGTCTTAGATGCCTGTGTGAGGTACACCTTCCCTTTGTGCCCTCTCAGCATTGCCAAACATGGTCAGTTTGGGGGACAGTACCCCACAGCTGAGAGGAAAACAAATTACTGGCCCAAAGCCACCTCAGAGGCACCATCCAGGCTCCTCACTGCCTCATTTGCTCCCAACTTCACTCTGTGACTCTACAGGCCCAGATCAGTTTCTCAAAGACCAGGTATTTGGAACACACCCCTGCCATCTGTCCTGAGCCAATCTGGCACCCACACCTGAGATAAGCACAAGTAGCAGGTCATCAGCTGTGAGACCCTCAGCCAGGTGCTGGATGGCCAGTGCAGCCCGCAGTGCATCACGATCTGGTAAGTTGTCTTCTGCCCCTTCAAATACCTTGACACGGCTATGTGGCTTCAGCAATAGCTCCCTGAAGAGAGAGGAAACACAGAGAAAGAGATGGGGTAGGCTCCTCTCCTCCCACTTGACTTCTCAGCTACGAAGGATGCTCCCTGAACTCCTTCCTGGGGCCAGACCAGACCCAGGAGGAAAGGGAAGGACAATCCAGGACAGTAGGGAGCAGCCCCCCATGGCGCCTTACTGCTTGCCAGCACGCTCCATGGTAGCACGGATCCCCTTGGGAATGCTGATCACACCCTGCACAAGATGATGGCCCAGTAGCTCCTCCACCGCAGCTGCCATGCCCAGTACAGCCTTGCCAAAGCCCACGAGGTACAGGTTCTGCTGCAGCTGGAAGCTCCGGTCCCGTACCTTCAGCTGTATGCCATCTGGATCCAAGGACAGTGCTCTCTGCAGCATGGGGCCGGGCTGCACGGCACCCACAGCACTCTCAAACAGCTGTTGTGCCTGCTCTGACAAGGCCATGCCACTGGCCAGGCGGGCCACTGGGTAGCCCCAGAAGAGTGGACGTGAGGGGGCTCGGACCAGATAGGGCAGAACCTGCAGGGCTGCAGCCATGCCCCTCTGCTCTCAGCATCACCTCATACCCATGGCTGCCTAGGGAGAACAAAGTACAAGTGAGGCCAGTGATAGAATGCCCCCTATTACCACTCCTCCAAGGGCTCAGGGCTGGTAGATCCCATGGCTGCCGCTGCAATAATAAGCCAACAGATAGGTCGACGAGTCAAGTAGACTTCCTGAAGCACATACTACCTGATCTCATTCCAGTCCTTGGAGCCCAGTCCCGCCACCCAGCAAGTCCTCCTCTTCTGCAGATCACACGCTGGCCTTCTGGATTCTCGTGCCCCAAGTCCAAAGTTCCTGGGCCCTCCTCCTAAGTCACCCCTTTGGCTGAGAGTTAATCATTCACAAAGGGAGCAATTCCCACCAGTGGGCTCTGGCTCCACCCCTTTTCCACCTCTTATACTTCTTAGCTTCACCAAGGGCAATGCCCTTTTTGGCACTCATGCCTTGCCTCTTTACCACTTCTGCTGCCAGAGGGCTGTTGACTGTCCCACCAGCTGACCTCAAGCCTACTCACCTCCAGCCTGCTCTTTCATTAGCTCCTGGGACTAGGCTAAGAAACCTGGGAATGCTGGGTCTGTGTGGCAAGGGCACAGGCTCATCAGCAGGGCACAGAACCTGAGGAATCCCAGCTGTAAGTCCAGCAAGAGTTCCGGTACAAATTCGGAGTAGCAGCTGAGTAAGGTAGCACACATTTAAAATCCCAGCACTTTAGGAAGCTGAGGCAAGAGGATCACAACTTTGAGGCCAGCCTGGCCATTGTAAGGATTCAGCAAGACCTTGTCTCAAAATAAAAAATGAAAAGAGAGCGTCTGGGAGTGTAGCTCAGTGCAAAGGCCCTGTGTTCAATCCTCAGTCCCACAAAATAAATAAAATAAAGTAAAAATCAGGAGTAGCAGCAAAGAATGACCCATGGAGGAACCTTAGGGAAGTCCCCAAGCACTTCGTGAGGCCGTGTGCTATGGGACCCACTCTACAGGAAAGGAAAAGGTGCCCTTCTACCCACATAGCTAGCCAGACCCAATCCTGCCAAGAAAACAACTTCTGCCTCTGGAACAACACAGTAAGTCCTGAGTTATACCACACCAAGTATTGTGAGCCCAGCAGCTAGAACAGGCAAAGGCCAGGTTCCTGTAACTTAGACCAAATAGTCATTTTACCCACTGGGCAGAGAGAAAGCTAGAGAAGGCTTGAGGTGAAGGTCAGGAAGCTCTAGAGGGATTTAGAGACAGTAAAGCCAAAAAGGGCTCTTTTGTAAAAAAGACATCTACTGTTTGTTTGTTCTGTTTGTTTTTGAGACTGAACTCAGAGCGGGGTGTGACTCAGTGATAAGCACAATTACCTAGCATGCTTGAGGCCCTGGATCTGACTCCCCAGCACGTCAAAAAAAAAAAAAAAAAAAAAGCCAGGTTTGGTCGTGCATGCCTGTAATGCCAGCATTCTGGGAGGCTTAGGCAGGAGGATCACCTGTTTGAACCCAGGCTCAACTTAGCTGCTCATGGAGATCGGCTCAAAATTTTAAAAAAGGTCCACCAGGTTCCAGACTTCAATCCCAAATTAATACCAAAAAGAAAAAAAAGACTAACGCTCTGCTTTTGACACCCTCAGGTTTTCTGCTGCTGTCCGCTGTAACACAGAGAAACCCAAACACTACTTTACCCCTCACAAAAATGATGGCAACTTCCAGACGCTGGCCATTTTACTGGCCTGGTTCTCAGATTTCCTATAAAATACTAGCCCTGCCTGACTCCTGGTGTGGAAGGGAACACAGAGGCCACTGCCATGGAGACTGAAAACGCGCCCAGCTTTCGCCAGGGGAATCCCTGGAGCTTGCCCGTCAGGTTTGGAGATAAATCATTCTCTAAAACATTTGGTTTTTACAACCTGGGTGAATTCTATACGTGCTTCTCTGACAAAGGCCTACAGCAGTCTAGCTCTGCTACTAGATCCCAGAGTCCAGGACAGAAGGCTGCTCAATTGCCAGATAAAATACGTAAAGTTCAGTTCAACTTGAATTGCAGATAAGTAATTTTTAATGTGAATATGTCCCGTACAATATTTGGAATATACTTAAGAATTATTTATTGTTTATCTGAAATTTAAATTGAACTAGACATCCTGCATCCTTCACTTGCTAAATCTGCCCACTCTACCGAAAGGTCCAAAGCAAAATGCTGAAATACCTAGAAGCCCAGGCATGACTCCTCCCCTGCACCAAGTGCGCTGACGTCACTTCCGGCTTTCACTTGCCCTTATGTGACCCAGAAGTGACATCATCCTCTGCCCTCGCGAGGGAAATGGCTGCCGCGTAATGCTGGGTGACGGGAGAAATAAGGGCCCACTGCCATGCAAGCCTGCCTTTGCTAGAGATAGGGTTTGCTTCAGAAGGCCGTACGAGCATTCGTGGGTCACACTTACCGCTTCTGCGGCTTTCGACCGCGGCTTTCGACAGCGGCTTCCAGGAAGTGCACCGGAAGTACACACAGTGGGCGGGGCGGGGTCCGGAAATGGAATTCGGCGGGGTGGGGCGCCAGGACGCCGGTACTGGGATTACCGCCCTGGGTTCCTACTGACCCTCCCGAGACCTGGTAGGAGTTTCCTTTAGCCCTCAGTTATTTCATCTCTGCTGTGGATTCTCACTGGCTTAAGACAGTCCTTCCGCTTCTTACCAGACAGCAGTGATCCGACCCTTTCTTTATCGTGTAGGATCAGTCGTTAAATACATTCCAAAGCGTCCTCTAGGTGCTACCGGTAGACAGACGGCTGCACAAACGCATTGAGAGCCGCTTTCTCCCCACAAGAAATATATTAAATCATCCTCACTTTTCCTGTGGCTGCAATCCTACACCTCACTGGTATTTCGCTCTCCTCCGTGGCCCACCAACTATAGCGTTCAGCAAGAGATTTCTGATCCATTGTCTTTGTAATCATGTGAGATTATAAGGTGCTTGTAAACGAGTGACAGTGGCCTTCCTAACTACACCTGCTCGCACCTTGTCCCCACCTTGAGCAGAACTTGGTTCATAAGTCCTGACCAGACTCCAAAACCACAAGAGAACACTTTACTAACGGGGATGAGGAAAGGACAGAGTCCCTAACAATCTCCTTAAAACTGTCCCCACTTGCTGACTTTGACGGTTGCCACATGTCTCCATAGGTCCCTAAACCAATCTCTGTTCTTGTCAGGAACTATCCCTACACACACACACACACACACACACACACACACACACTTCTCCCCAGGATTTTCTTTCTTGTTGGAGAACATTTTATTCCGTCTACCGAATGATTCTCCACCTTATCATAAAAACACCTTTAGAAGGATTTCTCCTTTTTAATGTTGGGTACAATGTAAATACTTAAAATTTCTTAATTTTTCCTTTATTCTAAGTTAACTTTATGGGATTGTAGGCGTATGCCACCATGCCTGGCTCAAAATAAAATTTTAAAAAGAGTTGGGGATATAACTCGGTAGAGTGCCTGCCTAGCATGAGCAAGTCCCTAGGCTCAATCCCCAGCAGAAAAAAGAAGGAAGGAAAACCAATATCAATATTAAAAATATGATCTGGGCATGGTGCTCTATACATGTAATCCCAGAACATGGAAGGTTGAAGCAGGAAGGTCACAAGTTGGAGGACAGTCTGGGCTACATATAAGGTTCAAGTCCAGCTTGAACTACATATAGAGACCTTGTCTGTAAAACAAAACAAAAATCTAAAAGGTCAGGCAAAGTGGCATATGCCCTTAATCTCAGCTACTCAGGAAGCTGAGACCATGGGTTCAATCCCCAGTGCTGCAATAATAATAATAATAATAATAATAATAATAATAATAATAATGCTACATGCATATTACTTTTTTGAGATGCTAGGCTATGAGTAAAAAAAAATGTTGAAAAGGTTATTTGATTACATGTGGAATATGAGCTTCCCATTACTCAAGCTAGCTAAAAGGAAGAAGGCAATGGAGGTAGGGAAGGATTTACAGAATTGATTCATTCCAGTTAAACCTTAATTTAAATGTTTCCCTTTATAACCAAGGAGTAGGCAGTCCAGGTAATGTTTGGCAATCAGTGACCAAGGGAAGGTAGCAATAGCAATAACAGTGCACATCTCCACTAGTAATGATGAATCACAGGAATCCCCTATAACTAAATTTCCCCTCACCATGCTCAAGGGGTCATCAGGGAGAGTGAATGATGACAATTTGGATCTGGAGCTCCACTATAAAGAAACCCTATGTGTTGTGAAAACTGATCATAGTTAATGCTCAGCCATTTGAGGTTTCAGATTCGTGAAGAGACTGAGGTGTCTATCACCATGTCAGAGGTAATTCCCCCAAAGTGCCCACTTTTCTATTGACATTTGTTCTATTGTCCTCCATCCTCAAGTGGTGGAAACCAGAAGTCATTGTTGATAGATGTTCACTACCTAGTTCTCTTCAGGCACATGGGAGGATTACACTTCCTGGACCCTTGTGATTGAGTGAAGTCATGTGACTAGTTCTGTCCAGTGAGTTGAAAGTGGAAGTAATGAAGGTCATTTCTAAGTACAGTACTTAGTTGTCCATGTGAGAAGTTCCCTAAGCATTTCTCTGTTTGCATCCAGCATCTGCCAGGCTGAGATCCTAAGTGTTTCTGATGGGAAGAGCCACTCTGCCAACCTACAATATACTGCACTGAATGTAGAAAATAAACATTTGATGGTTTAAATCACTAAGATATGGGAGTTAGTGTTACTACACCACAATTTAACCTATTCTGGTTGATGCATGCACTTTATCTTTGAATTTTAGGTAAAGTTCCAGAAATCCAGGCCTGTATATTAGAAGCTTGATCAATACTTTTATTGATGTTGGATCACCCACAAAGTGTTTATTATCCTCACTGGCATTCCTGTTGCTAGATGTACCGGCATGCTTTAGGTCACACACTGTAAATCCCTGCAACTCTTTCACAAATTATATAACAATAGTGAGGACATAAAGATCACTATACTATGTATTCACAAACTCCAGGAAGCCTGGTACACTAATTAATTCTATGAAGCAAAAGTATGAAGGGGAGCCAGGTATGGTGGTGCATGACTATAGTAGCAGCACTCAGAGGCTGAGATAGGAGTTCAAGACTAGCCTGGGCTATATACTGAGACCCTGTCTCCAAAAAAAAAAAAAAAAAGTGGAGAAAAGCTTCCACAAGGAGAAACACTCCACATTAGTCTTGGATTTCTATGGCAGGATAGAGTTTTATTCCATCAGTTCATGTGATTTCTGGGTACCCCTCTCTAGTTGTTTGTTTAGTT